TTGCCTTGGCGCCTGCCCATCTCCTCCTCCGCCTCTGTGCGTCTGGCACCGCGGCCGCTCCACCTCTGTGCGTCTGGCCCAAAGCCACAGCTTTAATCATAGTCATATTGCCTAGCAAATTAAAGACTCACATGGTCAGAAAAAGAGAGATATACAGTAAAGAAAAGATTCAAAGACTAAGAAAACCTCTAAATGTTTTTTTGTTGTTTTTTTTGTTTTGTTTTTGTATATTTATTTATTTATTAAGGATTTCTGCCTCCTCCCTGCAACTGCTTCCCATTTCCCTCCCCCTCCCCCGATCAAGTCCCCCTCCCTTATCTGCTCAAAGAAAAATCAGGGTTCCCTGACCTGTGGGGAGGCCAAGGACCGCCCAGCACTATCCAGGTCTCTTAGCTGAGCATCCAAACTGCCTAGGCTCCCCCAAAGCCAGTACGTGCAGTAGGATCAAAAACCCACTGCCATTGTTCTTGAGTTCTCAGTATTCCTCATTGTCCGCTATGTTCAGCTAGTCCAGATTTATCCCATGCTTTTTCAGACCTCGGCCAGCTGGCCTTGGTGAGTTCCAGATAGAACATCCCCACTGTCTCAGTGTGTGGGTACACCCCTCACAATCCTGACTTCCTTGCTCGTGCTCCGTCTCCTTCTGCTCCTGACTTGGACCTTGAGATTTCTGTCCAGTGCTCCAATGTGGGTCTCTGTCTCTGTCTCTGTCTCCTTTCATCACCTGATGAAGGTTAATATTCATGAGGATGCCAATGTGTTTGTCATTGGATTCACCTTCTTATTTAGCTTCTCTAGGAACATGAATTATAAGCTCAATGTCCTTTATTTAGGGCTAGAAACCAAATATGAGTAAGTACATCCCATGTTCAGCTTTTTGGGTCTGGCTTACCTCACTCAGGATAGTGTTTTCTATTTCCATCCATTTGCATGCAAAATTCACGAAGTCCTTGTTTTTTACTGCTGAGTAATATTCTAATATGTATATATTCCATACTTTCTTCATCCATTCTTCTGTTGAAGTGCATCTAGGTTGTTTCCAGGTTCTGGCTATCACACAAAATGCTGCCATGAACATAGTTGAACATATACTTTTGTTGTATGATAGGGCCTCTCTTGGGTATATTCCCAAGAGTGGTATTGCTGGATCCAGGGGTAGGTTGATCCCGAATTTCCTGAGAAACCGAAACACTGCTTTCCAGAGTGGTAGCACAAGTTTGCATTCCCACCAGCAATGGGTGAATGTACCCCTTTCTCCACAACCTCTCCAGCAAGGGCTATCATTGGTGTTTTTTATTTAGCCATTCTGACAGGTGTAAGATGGTATCTTAAAGTTGTCTTGATTTGCAATTCCCTGATCACTAGGGAAGTTGAGCATGACCTTAAGTGTCTTTTGGCCATTTGAAGTTCTTCTGTTGAGAATTCTCTGTTCAGCTCAATGCCCCATTTTATAATTGGGTTGATTAGCCTTTTACAGTCTAGTTTCTTGATTTCTTTATATATTTTGGAGATCAGACCTTTATCAGTTGTGGGGTTGGTGAAAATCTTCTCCCAGTAAGTGGGTTGCCTTTTTGTCTTAGTGACAGTGTCCTTTGTTTACAGAAGCTTCTCAGCCTCAGGAGGTCCCATTTATTCAATGATGCCCTTAATGTCTGTGCTGCTGGTGTTATACGTAGGAAGTGGTCTCCTGTGCCCATGTGCTGTAGAGTACTTCTCAATTTCTCTTCCATCAGGTTCAGTGTGTTCGGACTGATATTGAGGTCTTTAATTCACTTGAACTTGAGTTTTGTGCATGGTGATAGATATGGATCTATTTTCATTCTTCTACAGGTTGACATCCAGTTTTGCCAGCACAATTTGTTGAAGATGCTCTCTTTCTTCCATTGTATACTTTTAGCTCCTTTATCGAAAATCAGGTGTTCATAGGTTTGTGGGTTAAAATCTGGGCATTCCATACGATTCCATTGGTCGACTTCTCTGTTTTTATGCCAATACCAAGCTGCTTCAATACTGTAGCTCTGTAATAGAGTTTGAAGTCAGGGATGGTAATGCCTCCAGAAGTTCCTTTATTGTATAAGAATGTTTTGGCTATCCTGGATTTTTTGTTTTTCCATATAAAGTTGATTATTGTCTTCTCCAGGTCTGTGAAGAATTTTGATGGGATTTTGATGGGGATTGCATTGAATCTATAGATTGCTTTTGGTAGAATTGCCATTTTTACTATGGTGATCCTCCCAATCCAAGAGCAAGGGACGTCCTTCCATTTTCTGGTGTCTTCTTCAATTTCTTTCTTCAAAGAATTATAGTTCTTGTCAAATAGATCTTTCACTTCCTTGGTTAGAGTTACCCCAAGATATTTTATGCTGTTTGTGGCTATCGTGAATGGTGAAGCTTCTCTGATTTCCCTCTCTGCTTCCATATCCTTTGTGTGTAAGAGGACGACTGATTTTTTGGAGTTGATCTTGTATCCTGCCACATTACTAAAGCTGTTTATCAGCTGTAAAAGTTCTTTGGTGGAGTTTTGGGAGTCGCTTATGTACACTATCATATCATCTGCGAATAACAAAAGTTTAACTTCTTCCTTTCCAATTCGAATCCCCTTGATCCCCTTATGTTGTCTGATTGCTGTTGCTAGAACTTCAAGCACTATATTGAAGAGTTATGGCGAGAGTGGACAGCCTTGTCGTGTTCCTGAGTTAAGTGGGATGGCTTTGAGTTTCTCTCCGTTTAATTTGATGTTAGCTGTCGGCTTGCTGTAAATAGTTTTTATTATATTTAGGTAGGACCCTTGTATCCCTATTCTCTCCAAGACCTTTGTCATAAAGGGGTGTTGAATTTTGTCAGAAGCTTTTTCAGCATCTAATGAAATGATCATATGGTTTTTTTCTTTCAGCTTATTTATATGGTGGATTACATTGATAGGTTTGTGTATGTTGAACCAGCCCTGCATCGCTGTGATGAAGCCTACATGATCATAATGGATAATTTTTCTTATGTGTTCTTGGATACGGTTTGCCAGTATTTTATTGAGAATTTTTGCGTCGCTGTTCATGAGTGAGATACGTCACTCATGAACCCTAACCCTAACCCTAACCCTAACCCTAACCCCTAACCCTAACCCTAACCCTAACCCTAACCATAACCCCTAACCCTAACCCTAACCCTAACCCTAACCCCTAACCCTAACCCCTAACCCTAATACTAACCCTAACCCTAACCCTAACACTAAACCCTAACCCTAACCCTAACCCTAACCCTAAACCCTAACCCTAACCCTAACCCTAACCCTAACCCCTACCCTAACCCTAACCCTAACCCTAACCCCGAACCCTAACCCTAACCCTAACCCCTAACCCCTAACCCTAACCCTAACCCTAACCCTAACCCTAACCCCTAACCCTAACCCTAACCCTAACCCCTAACCCTAACCCTAACCCTAACCCCTAACCCTAACCCTAACCCTAACCCTACCCCTAACCCTAACCCTAACCCTAACCCTAACCCTAACCCCTGACCCTGACCCTGACCCTGACCCTGACCCTAACCCTAACCCTAACCCTAACCCTAACCGTCACCCTAACCCTAACCGTCACCCTATATCTAACAGTGCAAATAATACTTTCAGAAAATTTTCATACTTTCTAAACCTTGCCAATTATCATATTGGTAATTTTGAGAAACTATAGTTTTGAATCATACAATTGTAGATTTCTATAACCTAAAGAATCACCTCCACTCAGATGAATGGAAATTTTCTCACAAACTCAATGAAGAATAAATAAATACCTGATTAAAATTGTTAAGTATAAAAGATAGAGCTTTGCAATGGGGAATATCATCTTCTCAGTTCTAGGAGGACTGGGCATTAAATATTATTATTTTTCTGTCGATGTTTAACTACAGTACCATTGTGCTACAATCAGTTTTTGTTTTGTTTTACTGTCATTAGTTAAATGACATCAACAGTCGCATTGAAGAACATGATCCTCAGATGCTGTTGGTTTATTCCAGAAGAGATGAGAAGCACTCTACAAATACAGAATGAAATATAATTTTGGCATTAAAAAGATGGTGATGCTCTCAATACTCCTTGAATATTTTTGTTCATGTTCTGCACAGTGTTAAAAGTTCCTTCTAATCTATCCTGAAATATATCCTAAAGACCTAAGTCCTAGTTTTGCCTGGCTTATTAGCTATGCTATTATCTTGAATTTTATTTAATAAAAGCAAAATTGTGTTAGAATTAACATAATGTTTAATTCCCAATTAAGTGTCTATAAACTAATTCTTACCAATATTAATAAAGAATATAGCTAGCAATACACTGTGAGAGAAGAAAGATGCATATTGTATATAACTAACAAACTTAATCTTATTTATATATCATTTATTTTTTTAAATAAGTTAATAATAAGCCAAGCCCTGTGATGTTTTTTTAGTGCTACATATATGTTCTAATTTTTCAAATAAGAGTTAATGCATGGGGAGAAATGTCACAGTGCTTTAAAATGCTTGCCAGGCTTTTAAATGGTGGCTTTCAATTAACTATTATTTATGGTCTAGTGGATCAAGAACTGTCTTCTATTCTTCATGTGCACATTTAAATGCAAAGATGTAATTAAAATACAGGTGAAGGGAAAGAGAGAGTCCAAAAAGATACCAGTGTTTATTTTGTATGACTTAAATTTGTTTCTTAGCAACTATGTTAGGTATCTCACAGTTGGGTGTATATCTAAGAGGATCAACTACATGCTAACTTTCCTGGGGAACCCATGATTGTACAAGGACTACACATAAGTATGTATTAAGAAAGTTATTTTATAAAATTGTAGAATTAATCAAATATCATTGGTAACTCATGGAAAAAGAAAATAAGTTGTTATTGTTTAGGGAAATACTCTTTATTAAAACAATATATTGGGAATTAAGTCAGAACTTTTTTTCTATTTTTTCTGGTATATTTGTTCAGCAGGTTTGAACACATTGATGTAATCTGTACACTACAAAATTAAAACCCTTTTCACTGAAATAATCATTATGATGGAAAGTAGCAATATGGTTGGATGTTTTACAAGTCTAGAAGACTCGGAATTTTCTACCCAAGGAATGAGTGCCTGATCTAAGGGATAGCCTGTCTTTGCTGTTGAGGACAAGATCCAGGAAAAGTATGGAGCAACTATGGTAGCTAGTTGCTTGAGACTAGTGAAGCCTATTTGTCTCCATTTGCCATTTCCAAATACTGGTCTGCATATAACAGCACTTCCAGGACTCACCGACTCCTGTAAAGCAAAAGACAGATAAGTTGCTATGAAAAGGGATTATTACTCTTAGACTTCTTAAACAGTACTGGCAATGTTCATAAAGTTGGCATGTGCAATTTTGATCCAGAAAAGAATATTTCTTTCTAAAATGTTTGCAAAATCAGAAAAGACAAGCCGGGCGATGGTGGTGCACACCGTTAATCCCAGCACTCGGGAGGCAGAGGCAGGCGGATCTCTGTGAGTTCGAGACCAGCCTGGTCTACAGAGTGAGTTCCAGGACAGGCTCCAAAGCCACAGAGAAACCCTGTCTCGAAAAAAAAAAAATCAGAAAAGACAAAATATTTGAGCCTTCAATTACACTATTGTCCTTTTCAATAAAAGAAATATAAATGGATGGACTCAGAGAACATCAAAGAAAGATATATTTTTAAATATAAATATAGATCTCATATTTATACATTCTATTTTCTGATAGGTAAATAAAGCAATGTAAAGCTTATATGCTTACCAAGCTTATTTCAGGAACACCAGTTTGTGCATTGTAGCAAACCACAGAACTTCCTATGTCTGGATAGAGATAGGCACAGTTGGATGTTCCTATCACTTGTATATGTAACATTTCTGGATTTTCAAATATATATCCTAGGAAAATAGATGAAGAATAAAAGTCTCATGTATGTAAACTTTCATGAAGCAACAAAATTTGAAATAAAAGTACAACATATGTATACTCATTTTCTTTACCTTGATATACTGAAGTAACAATACCTTATTATTCATGCTTTCTAACAGAGACTACTATATACAAAAATGTATCTGTGAGAAAGTCTATAATTTGAACATGTTGACTGCATAAACTATTTTAATTACAGTTCCTCCTTAAGTGTAACATTAAAATCCAGGTATTTATTAAAAATAAAATTGATCCTCCCCTGATAAATGAAAGAATTTGTGCACTAACCTTGTTTAAGAATTTGGGGTCCAGAAAGCCAGCATTCTGAAGTGTTCAAATTATTCATTCTGCCTAAAGGTGCCATTATATGAATAGAACTCTGGCCTTCTCGAAGAAGCACCAGAGCTAGGACATTTCTTGCAACCTGACTCACTAAACGGAATCTTTCATGCAGTAAAATAGTAGCCACCTTAACAACTCTCATAGGTGTTCCAGGATGTCTAGGGCCCAGTATCACAACAGTGTCTTCAGGATTCCTATATGGTAGGTAGAAATTTATCAAAATGAATTGTATTTAAAACTTACACCTTTATAAACAATATCTCTTGATTTTGTGTTCATTTCCTTCTTTGGAGAGAGAGAGAGAGAGACAGAGAGAGACAGAGAGAGACAGAGAGAGAGAGAATCCAACAAAGGAAGTGAGGATATATATGGAATCATTCATTAAATGTATTATAATATATAAAATCTAACTAACATATTGAGATAATTTGCTGTTGTCACAGATACAAGGTATCATGAGAAAAAGATAAATGGACAATTATTCTAGAGACTAAATTTTTCAAAGAAAATTCTCAACATACTTGAGGAAATACAAAATATTGTAGGAGAAAATATTTGGCTTTAACTTACATGTTTCTCACACAGTGGGCAGCAGTAAGAACCCAGTAGCTACTAATAATGGAGCCACTGCAGATCTGATTGCCACAGCTGAAGATTATAGCTTGCCATGGCATAGCATATTGCACAGAAATATGATCTGCTAAAGCTGAATAGAAATAGAAATATAAAATAGAGGTTAAATTTGGTGTAAATGTTAGTTGGAACTATTTTTAAAGATTTTAATTTCATGTGTCTCTTCTCAAACAATGAGCATTGTAAAATTTGTTTTTGAAATGAGTTTCCTTAATCCTTAGAAAGATTTTTTTTCCTCCAAAAGGGATTATCTTCTCATATTTCCTACTTCCCTGTTTGAGAAAATATTGGACACCATTTTATTATCTTACAACTCCTATTTATATTTTATTTTATCCCTTTGTAGGAAATAAAACTGTTTAGTTTTATAGCATTCTATAAAATGAAAGAATGTGTTGGACAGACCATTAAATACAAATATTAATGGAGCCAGATTACTTAAAATTGTACTCTAAGAGCAAATATCTTAGGCAAGAAATGCATGCATGACAATACCAATATCCTTGTTTATTAGAAATTTAGTCACAGAAATTTCATTATGCCAAATTAATGGAGATTAATAGAAAATGGTGAAGATAATTTATATGTCATAAAACACCAATTGATGAAAAAACTAGAAGCATAACTATCATCTCCAGTTTGTAGTTCAATGAGTACTCTAAGAAAAGTTTTAAGTGTTATATTTCAACAAATAAATAAAATAACTTAAATTGTGTGTTTAAAATATTCAATGTAACTATGGAAGCATATTCATTTCAAATGTTATACTAGCTCTTGATTGTATGCAGCATTAGTGTATATTCTACTTTAAGCAAGTAACATTAAATTGCCATTTATGATACTGTGATATATTTCAGAAACAATGAAGGGGAAAAGATGACAACCACAAACAATTACAGAGTTGTCTGCTCAGGAACCTATGAAGTCAATATTCCCTATCAGTTCAGCCAAAGTATCTAAACTGAAAATTATTCCACTATCAAAATAAGGCATATGTACATGAACAATAATTTCTGCTAGATATTAAATTATCAAGGTATGTGCTGCTCATTACCTTTTAAACTGTAATAAAGTATTTAATTTTCTGGGTCTTAGAGTAGTCAATTATTATAATTATATAAAGTATAATCAGTTACATAAGCATTTTACAGTTACATTACAATAGCAGAACAGTGCATAAGCTATAAACAGCTCATGCCAAGACCAAAGAAATCTTGAATCTGCAGATAATAGAAAAATAATTAAATTTTCAGAGACAGAAAATTTCTTTACCTTCTTTAAATCTCTAATTTTCTCTTTCATACTGATCCCATACAAAAATACACTTTGATCTCACCTTGAGGGTATGGTAGGGAGATGAAGTGTGGATGAACAGCAGCAGATGGCAGCATAAAAGTTGAATCTTTCCTACTAGTCGAGACTGACAGGGTGTTGAAAGAAGAGGCAACCACACGTCTTTGATGAGACCAGGGTGCATGACTGGGCTGTGTAACTTTCCGGAGCCAGAAAACAAAAGGGCTAACTTGACTGAAGACATAAGGCTTTGTGCAATGTTCATCAAATTGAACTAAAATTCCCACCAGCATCCATGTGTCTTTTTGTTTTAGATGACATACCAAAGGTGCCCCAAGATCAGCCTACAAAAAAATTGAAAATAAAACATTAGTTGACAAACTGAAAGATAGTAATAGACAACGTTTACTATAAAATGATATTTCTTATGTCTTTACAGTCCATTCTTCTATTTTTCACCTTACAGCCAGATTCCCCCATAGCTTTCTTGGCCTTTACACAGAAAGTGTACTCATTCAGTTGTGGCCAAAATTTAGCACAGGTGCTGACTTGCATGATGCTGAGGTGCCTTTTTTGCAGGATACCCGGACTTCCTGATAAAAATCAGAAAGGTTTGGAGGTTATTGTGATACAAATAAATCAAAACATTTATGAAATATAAAAAAGATAAAACCTCAATTGATAATAAGAAAATTCTATGATCATATTCTATTTGCTTCATCATTACTACTTACCTCTCATGAGGGACCAGCTGGGTAACCAGCAGTCATATAGTTCTATGTATCTTTCTTGTTCTTGACTTTCTTCCAGACAAATAGGATGCACCAAAGGTTGAAAACGTATTGACTCCTTCAGGAAGATTAGGCCTGGTCCTAAAGGTCCCCGGGGACCTAAGTATGGTATAGAACGCTGGATACCTACAGTTTCACCTTGTGTAGGATCCTGAAGATCAACCAGACCCACTTGGACTAAAGCCAGAGATTCTGACCGTTTTCTGGAGGAAAATTTATCAAGAGTTTTATTATTTATTCTTTGCAATTAAAAGTAACCTAGATGTTACATTGATTATATGAAATAGCAAGTGTGTTGCTAAGATAATGTTTTCAAATCGCTTATCTTTGGTTTTAGAGATATTTCAGTTTGGTCTAGATTCTGTTCATTCTAGTCATTTATATTAGCATTAACCACATACCCTAGCCCATACAAAACAAGTACTCACAATCCTCCTCTCTCAGTTTTGATGATTTGGTTTTAGAAGATTGCAAACTTGTGCCAAGAGAATGAAACCTGGATTAGACATATAAGACTTTGCTAATCATAAACAAAGTATGGAGAGGATCTGTACACATGAACACATTTAGAATCTAAAGATGACTATTACAATGAAGCAATAAATTATTGCATTAATATTTTCAGGACTTAAAAGTGTTGTACTAATTGAAAATTAAAAATTAAATACAATGAATGTATTTGATATTTGCTTGACTGTAAAGCCAGGAAAGTCTGAAATGGAAACAATGCAAAATGGAAAAACTCTAATATCTGATTTGAAATTAGCACCTACCACCATTTTATAAGTTAAATAATATAAAATTATGATAATTTTCATAACTTATAGATATGTTTATGAGAATATTGAAGGTATCCTGATAAAATAAAGAGTAATCTTGTCAAAGCATAAGGTAAAACATAAGGGAGAATGCAATAAGCTTCATAACCAAGGTCAAAAATTGTTCTCATCTATCCATGGGGGAATGCTTTCATATGAGATAAGAAAATTGATCACAGTTAGAGTGAAGGAACAGACAAGGTTGAATAAGGGAAACATGAATACTGAAGTAACTATATTTTAAAAAAAACATACATATCAACATTCTCAAATTTACATCAATGTACGATATATCTCAATTTTTAAAGTGTCTTGTAAGACTTACATAAAATTGGCACATCGGGCAGAAGTGAGGACCCACATTTCATTAAGAATAGAACCAGCACAGAAGTGGGAGTAAGACAGCTGCATAGAAACCATCCATGGGAATTCACCTATTTCAGCTTCCCAACAGTCGGGACACTGGGGAACAAGGCCAGGACGTATACCACATTCTAGAGAATACAATAATATTGGTAGAATTAGTGTTTTCTTCTGTTAGAATATTCTTACTTTTTATATTCATGGTTAAGAAAAGAATGTCTGGACATTTGACACCTTTAACTTTGATTAAATATGAGTATATATGTGACTAAGTTATTACAAACTTCAATATATGAAAACAGAATATCTTTGTACATTCCCCAACTTATGTCAATTATGCTTATTAATTCCTCAAGTGGAATTATAACTCATTGTTATGCACTGTGTAATTTTGAAACACTATTATGCTTTCATGCCAAAATTGGTGGTTACACATCTCTTTTATTGGAATTGCTTAAAATGAGGGAAACCACACCTGATTTTTAAAATTGACCTAATTACTCAATCATATTCAGTGCAAGTGAAATCATGGTTATTAGAAAAAAAGTACACTAATTTACTAAACCACTATAATACTTTCCAACAGTTTTATCAAGGTTTGTTTTCACACTCACAGTCAATTATAGGAATGAAAGTACTCTAAGAGACTAGTGAAAGAAATCTGTGCAAATTACAATGTTGAAGACATGTTATCTTAAAATTCTGAAAGTTTTTTTTTGCTTAGTCTAGATGAAAAGACTGGCATCTAAAGTTAATAACTTCAACATGCTATAATTTGCCTGTGGTTTTATGAGAAACAACAGCTGTTTTGTAGAGCCATAGTGCTTGGAGATTACCATTCCATGTCATACTCAGGTGACATTCAGACAAGGAAACATTGAATTTTGATTGCCTAGTTGATAATGGTTCCAATGAATGCTCATTTTGTGGATCAGATTGAGGTTGCAATATCAGGGTAGGTTCTTCACTTAAAAGCATTTCTGAAAAAGCATGGGCACATACAATTTAGGATAAATAATGGTATATTCTATAATATTGAGGACCATAACCACTGAAGTAAAATATCAGAAGAGTTTGAGGGAAGGAAAATAGGATACCCCAGGCAGAAAGAAAAGATTAAAAATTCAAAACAAAGTAAAAGTGAATGAATTAAAGTTTGTGAATACAGGAAAACAGTACTGAGAGATAGGACAATATAGAAAATAAAAGGAAAATGTCTATAAAGAGACAGATAAGAGAGGCATATAAAATTTCAGGTTTTCCATGTATAGATAACTTTTTTATTTGCTATCAAAGTCTAACAGCAAGTTTTCCCCTGTAACAGTCTGCTTATAAATATAAGATTAGTGAGTTTGTTAGGTTGAGCGGAGTTGCTTTTCTTTCTGTTTTGCATAGAAGCTATCTGTGTTAGTAAATTGAAACTTACCTGAAGTTATACAGACAATAAGCACACAAGTTCATAGCAAATGCTAAATGACTGATTATGTTTCCTCCACCTATCTCAATTACAGGAAAGAAAATAATAATGATCCTGTCTCAAATGTAAAGTGTGTGCTGGATCTTAACATTTCTGTTTCAGGCTCGACACAGATTCTAAAATATATATGTTTCTCTGGGTGTGTGTGTGTGTGTGTGTGTGTGTGTGTGTGTGTTTATGGGGTGGCTTTTTTTTAATTTTTACTTATGATTTTATTTTTTTAATTTATTTATTTATTATGTATACAGTGTTCTGTCTGTTTGTATGCCTGCTGGACATGAAGAGGGCACCAGACCTCATTACAGATGGTTGTGAGCCACCATGTCATTGCTGGGAATTGAACTCAGGACCTCTGGAAGAGCAGGCAATGCTCTTAACCTCTGAGCCATCTCTCCAGCCCATGGGGTGGCTTTTGAACTAACCAAGATGACTGGTTCCATATCTGGCAGAGAGGCAGGTGGATCTCTGGGAGTTTGAGGCCAGCTCTTTGTTGACAAGAGCTAGTTCCAAAGACAGGCTCCAAAGCAACAGAGAAATCCTGCCTTGGAAATCAAAACAAGAACACAAACCAAAAAAAATAATAATAATAATAATAATAAAACATAAATTAAATGAGAGAGAGAGAGAGAGAGAGAGAGAGAGAGAAGAAATGTTGATTTGTCGATTTACAGACAAGAAATAAGAAAAAACAAAACCATAATACAAAACCATAATGTTACCAAGATGACAGCCTGGTTTATATAATGAGTTAAAGGTATTATACAGAGAAACCCTGCACCAAAAAAATAATAATAATAAAAGAAGAAAACAGAAAAAAAAAACAAAGGAAGAAAAAAAACAAGGAAAAAGGATGGAAGGAAGGAAGGAAGGAAGGAAGAAAAAACAGGTGTTTTCCTTTTTTTTTCTTTGTTTATCTCAGGTTATTTTATTTTAATTTTTTTTTAATTGCAGCAGCAGCAGTATATTTTGGGCAGCTGCCTAGCTGGGTAATGGTGGCAGCACATTTCTTTATTCTCAGCCCTCAGAAATCAGGAGAGGCAGAGGCAGGCAGATCGCTGTGAGTTTGAGGCCACCTTGTTCTGCAGTGTGAGTTTCAGGACGGGCAAAAGGACAGACACAGAGAAACCCTGTCTTGGGGGAAAAAAGTGTGTTTAGTGCAGGCCTTTAATTCTGGCACTAGGAAGCAGAGGTAGAGGCAGGGGCAGCTAGATCTCTGTGAGTCTGAGGCCAGCCTTGTCTACAAAGTGAGTTCCAGGGCAAACACAGGGAACCTCTATGTAGAAAAAACCACAAATAAACTAATAATAATAATAATAATCTAAGAGCTCAATTAATTGACTTCACCCACAATTCAAAAATAAATAAAAAGAGTGTGTCTGACTGATCAGTGAAAGGACTATGTGGGCCAAGGGGCTGCCACAATTATGGCTTGGTGAGAGGGAGGAACTGAGAGAGGGAGGGAGGGAGGGAGGGAGGCCTGCTTTCTTGGGGTTCTTTTTTGGTAGTTGTGTTTGTACAACCCCACACCCCACTTCTCATACTAAATACCGAGTCTGAGAAAATTAAAACAGCCCTGGAAAAATTCCCACTTGGATATCTGTTCCTGCCCTGTAAAACAAGAACCACAACAAAAATATCCATATCTAAGCAGACGAATTAAGTTGTAGCCTCACCCTTTAAAGGTTTAGCAAGGAGTTCTAGCTGTTGGGAAGGGCTGGTGACCTTGAACTTTACTAGTCTCTTAAATCTGCCCTCTCACTTTTACCAGGTGCCCTCAGGGGACAGGAGTGGAGGCCAGGGCCCTTGCTACAGGAGATTTCCTAGATCACCTACAGGCGCTTAGGATTCCTTAAGACACACGATACAGGAGACACAGAGAAAAAAAAAATTTTTTTTTTTTTTTTTTTTTTTTCTGAGACCAGGATTCTCTGTAGCTTTGGCACCTGTCCTGGAACTGTAGACGACCAGGCTGGCCTCAAACTCACAGAGATCTGCCTGCCTCTGTCTGCCACAGAGAAAATTACAACAGCCATGGAATAATATGAAAAATTCTGATTTATGCCAGGCGGTGGTGGCGCACGCCTTTAATCCCAGCACTTGGGAGGCAGAGGCAGGCAGATCTCTGTGAGTTCGAGACCAGCCTGGTCTACAAGAGCTAGTTCCAGGACAGTCTCCAAAACCACAGAGAAACCCTGTCTCAAAAAACCAAAATAAATAAATAAATATAATAAAAATAAAATAAAATGTTAAAAAAAAATCTGACTTTGATATCATTTCCAGGAATACTGATGCAGTGAATTATTTGGAGCATTTTCACTTCAGACAGAAAAAAATAAAAATGTCATTTTATTGATTTCTTTTAGAGGGTCTCTTTCCCACCAGGATGGTTTGCACTTGCTGGGTTTTGAAGATGATCTCCTGATCCTTGTATTCCCAGTTCCCGAGTGCTGCCGGCAGGACAGACATGGGCTCACTATACATTCGAGTTTTTGATGCAGTACTGAGAACCTGGAGCCCAAAGGACAAGGCTTCAGCTTCCCCTGCCCCTCTGACATAAGCCAGATACATAAATGATTACCCAGATTTTATTTAAATCTCTCAGTGTGGCTTGTGTATGTGGGGGAGACAGGGAAGGTATCACATTTCAAAACATTTTCATAACTGCACTTAGCACTGCATTCTTTTCCGTTTATTTTACTTTTATTTGAGAGTGTTTCCAATTGTGTAGGACTTAGTTAAATTTCTTAAGGAATTTTTTATGATTTATTTAACTTTATTTTATGTGCAATGGTCTGAAGATGTCAGATCACCCAGAAACTACTGAATTTACAATCACTATGAGCTGCCATGCAGGTGCTGGGAATTGAACCCAATTTCTCTGGACGAGCCACGAAACTAGCTCTCCGGGCTCTTAATTTAAAAGTTTATTCATGTGTCTCTGGATGTGCCTGTGCCTGTGTTTGGTTTGTGTGTGTGTTGTGGGGGTGGGGGTGGGGGGTGGCTTTTGACCTCACCAGACAAAGGCATTCAAGAGCACTGGCTCCATATTTAGCAGAAATAGGATCTCTGGGAGTTTTAGGACAGCCTGGTCTACAAGAAAGGAGCTAGTTTTAAGAACAGTCTCCAAAGCAGCAGAGAAACCCTGTCTCATAAAGCAAAACACAAAACCAAATATACATAAATATATATATATATATATATATATATATATATATATATATATATATTTAGAGAGAGAGAGAGAGAGAGAGAGAGAGAGAGAGAGAGAGAGGACAGCTAGGGCTGTTACACAGAGAGACCATGCCTCAAGAATTAACTAATAAAAGAAGGGAAAAAAAAGCAAGAGAGCAAGAAAGCAAAAAATCAAGTAAGCAAGATGATAAAACACCTCCAAGATCAGGGAGACCAAAGCAGGCAGATCACTGTGAGTTTAAGGCTACTTTGTTCTGCACATTGAGATTCAGGTTAGGCAAAGTGACACAGAGAAACCCTGTTTTCAAAAAAAAATGTGTTTAGTGTACGCCTTTAATGCCAGCACTAGAAGGCAGAGGCAGGCGGATCTCTGTTAGTCTGAGGCCAGTCTTGTTTACAAAGTGAGTTCCAGGGCACACAAGGATACACAAGGAAACCCCGTGTTGCAAAACCACAAATAAA